AATGAATATCAGAGTTATTTCAATGTGATCCAGGTTGGTTTTTTTTGTTTTTTTTTTTTTTAAGCCGATGAGTTTTTAAGTGCAGCCACCATATGGCAAAATTGTTTCCAGGAAAAATATTCTCATTATCGGAAGGATGTAACTTGTGTGCTTTATTTGAATTTGAAGAGTTGACAAAACTATCACTAATATCCGGGGTGTCAGGGGATTTGCAACTAGCAGATATGGTTAATGTCCAGGCTCCTAATGGAAATTAGTGGTGTCTGTGCCTTCTTATCTTTATTGTTCCAAGATGTAATTGGGATATACTGCACCGTCAAGTTAGAAGGATGAACGTGTAAGTACAAAAGTAAAGCGATCTTTTTAAAAGTGAGGAATCTAAGCACAGTAATAGGATGATTTGAAAATAAAATGACATTAGTCTTTTAAACAGTATTTATTGACTGCAACTATATGCTCAGTACTGTCACTGGCATCGAAGGGTTTATAAAATTGAAAGGTAATGATGACCAGGAATTTATAATCCTGCTAAGAGATAAGATTAAAACACATGGGACAACTCAATAATGAAATGCAAATAAATGCTAAATTGATTGAATATCCTTGCTTGTATAACATTGATAGTACATAACTTTATATGCTATAGGAGAAAGGTGTGAATTGTGTGGTCCAAATTATTAGGGAAGACATTGAAGAGGAATGGGTACTTCGGCTGTGCAAACCGGGACTTTCAGGGTGGTTAAAATTTGGTTAGGCAGGAACTAAAAGTATAGATGCAGGATTGAAGAAGGGGTGTGGGTGAGGAAAGACAAAGGCAATGGGAGTCTTAGGAAATAAAGTTAATATCCTAGTTAATGTTGCGGTAAATAAAGGAAACTACCAGAAGGTTGAAACTAAGATTACATGACAATTACCTTGATAAAAAGAAATCTGGCGGGGGGCGGGCGGTAAAGAAAGGACACAGAGTTCTTGCCTTCTACAAACTTGGTGGGTTTGAAAGGTGAATTTGATTTAGATTGAAAGGGTAAAAGATATTTTAGGTAGAATGACTTGAGACATGACATATATCATGAGTGGTATAATGCATGCACCAACAAAGAATACATTTAGAAAGCCTAAGAGATAAAGTGAAAAGTTGAAGAAATTGGGTTTTACAGAACCTTTGAAGAAGATGATGCCAAGGTAGAATTTTGGTTTCAAGATGTATGCAGCATTTTGAGCACTCTCTGAAGAGATGATTCACCTGAGATGAAAGCTGTAAGATTTGGATTCTTTTGAGATTACGGAAATACCTAACTGAATGTCTTGTCTATATTCAGCATCCCAAGGCCAAGTGCAGTGGCTCATGCCTGTAATCCTGGCACTTTGAGGAGTCTGAGCCCGGAGGATCGCTTAAGGCCAGGAGTTTGAGGTTGCAGCGAGCTATGATGACAACACTGCACTCTAGCCCAGGCGACAGAGTGAGACCCTGTCTCAAAAAATAAATAAGTAAATAAATTCAGTATCGGATTACTATTCCCAGTTTATTGATATGCAAAGGAAGACTCATAATGTTGGGCCCATTTATGAATGTGGGAAGACTGTTCAGGTCTTCTCAGAAAGAAGAGCATCCATCATAAAGAGGGCAAAGTATATTACTAGATTTCTTTAATGCTGTATCTTAAAGACGAATCGTAAGCATCTTCTCAAGATGGCCAATTTAGAAACAACTCCCCCCCCCACTATTTCTGTTATGTTATTTGGTTTCATGAACTTTTCTTAAAGTTTAAAAAGTGATTAAGTACTCCATGTTTTGTGAATTAAAGGCTGCAATTTTTTTTTTTTTTTTAAGAGACAGGGTCTTGATCTGTTGCCCAGGCTGGAGTGCAGTGGCAGCATCATAATTCACTGCATCCTTAAACTCCTGGGCTCAGCAGTCCTCCTGCCTCAGCCTCCCAAGTAGCTGGGACTACATGCACATGCCACCACACCTGGCTAATTTTTCTTATATTTTGTAGAGATGGGGGTCTTACAACAGCCCAGGTTGGTCTTCAACTCTTGGGCTCAAGCAATCCTCCCACCTCAGCCTCTCTAAGTGCTGGGATTACAGGTGTGAACCATTACGCCTGGCCAAAGGTTGTTGATTTATACAAAGTAAAATGTAATTTAAAAATCTTAAAAGTAAAAAAAGCAAAGTTTGATCTGGATAGGTCTGTCCATACCAGTTTTATGTGAATGGTCAGTAAAAGAACAGTTCAGACTAATACCTCTAACCTTGATTTTCTTTTAATGATTTTATTTCTACAGCATGATCGAGAGGGTTTATTGAGCATGGCAAATGCAGGCCAAGATACAAATGGTTCTCAGTTCTTTATCACAACAGTTCCAACTCCTCATTTGGATGGGAAACATGTGGTGTTTGGCCAAGTAATTAAAGGAATAGGTGTCGCAAGGATACTGGAAAATGTAGAAGTGAAAGGTGAAAAACCTGCCAAAGTAAGTAAAAAGTTACAGTGAAATACACTTGTTATCTTAGTTGCTATCTTAAAGAAATTTAAGGAAAAGGATTGGGTGATTACGGTCTGGAAAAATTGGAAAAGCGTTAGAATGGCTTTTGATATGGAAGCCTAGATCTGCCACTTTTTAACTGTTTTCTACAATGGGAAAGATGACTTAGGGTAGTTTTAAAGAAGGCAATTTCTATTCTTATTTCAACTTCCATGTTGGTGATCTTTGCTAGATTACTTAAGTCTTCCTAGACCTGCAAAATTCTTGAGTCAGTATATATACTGGTTCATAGAAGAAAGAGGACAGTAAACCTAAAATCTTGTCTGGATTGTGCTATTAAGAGATGTTTGGCCTTGATCTTGTTACTTTTCTGGGCCTGTTCTTCATTCTTCAGTAATCTAAATTGCTTAAGGACTAAGACTAGATTATCTCTTAAGATCCTTGTGTTTTAAATGTCTGTGAATCAAAATGACTGTAATACTATCCAACGTAAGTGACAGGGTTGTGAGTGGGAATTGGAAACTCAATTACATGTAGGAGGTAGGCTGTCACTCAGTGTATGAAGGGAATAGTAGTAAACTGAAAGCTCATGCCGCACCTACAGACAGTTACACAGAAAATGATAAAATTGCCAACTTAGTGTTCACTGAACTCCTGAATAGCAATAAAATACTTATATAAATAGTGATACATCAGTTGGAATGTCTATAAAGGGCATTATTGTAATTATAGCAGATAGCCTCCTAATGTAAATCTGAATTGGACAGTTTTACACATGAGTTCCAGCCATACAGCTTTTAAACCTAGATATATTTTTAATCTTTCACTAATATGGTAGTGCACTTCAACAATTTAGGATTATTTTTACAGTTGTGCGTTATTGCAGAATGTGGAGAATTGAAGGAAGGGGATGATTGGGGAATTGTCCCAAAAGATGGTTCTGGCGACAGTCATCCAGATTTCCCTGAGGATGCAGATATTGATTTAACAGATGTGAGTACTTTCAGATTAGTCAAACTTTAATTACTTTAATAAATAAAAATACTTAGTACTAAAAGTTGGAGGTTTTGTGTCAATCTGTCATGATAGACCTAGCATTAAACCACATTACTTACTAAA